AGTAAGACTCAGAGTGGGGCCACCCTCATCCATTTAGATCATGAATTTTGGTAGAAATTTGAAAATAACAAAAAAAAAAAAATATAGTAAATTATAAACTAGTAGAGTAACTTCTTGTGTTTTATTCTTTCTATCAAAGTGAAGGGAAAGCTGCATTTAAAACTCGAATTCAAATATTACGTTTTATAATAGAACGCCTCAACTACCAAGTCAATATCTTAGTCTTATATAAACTATGTGTTTTGGTGTGTTAAAATACAGAAAAGAATACTACAATAAAAAAGAATTAGGATTTTCTGCAATACAATTTTTTTTTACAGTTTCAAATTGTTTTAAACTTAAACCACTTACTCAAATTACCATTGCAAGATTATCGTAATAATAATTATTGCAGAGAATCATAATTCCTGTAAAGAAACTCTAAGGCTATGCTTAGATCAAAAATAGAATGGCCGTTGTGCTCCCAACATAGTAATCATTGCTTTCCGTCTGATAGAGCCCACTCTGGATCCTACTTTGACGATTCAAATTGTTCATTTTTTGGGATTCGTCGAGTAGACATACTTACAAAAAATTAACTTGATTTTTTATAAATATGTTTTACTTGAAGAATCTTAAAAAGTGAATGATTTAGATCATCAAAGTAGGACTCATCCGTTTGGATCATGAATTTTGGTAGAAATTTGAAGAAAAAAAAACAAAAACAAAATAAAAAAGGATGAGCAAAATGTGAATGAAATATAAATTAAAAAATTTCTCTATTTCTATTTTATCTCTTTTAAATTTTTATTTAAATTCATAATCCAAACGCACATAAAGAAACTCTAAAAAGGAAAATCTATACTATATCCTGTGAAAGTTTGCATGGTAACCATGAGATGCCAGCATGGCAAGTTTTCCCACACCGAAAGGTCATAGAGTTCACATGTATCCCCTCTTGTGTTATTGTGAAAAAAAGATTGCTTTTTGAAGCAAACTGTTTTTACTATATTTAGTAGCAAGAGTTTCGTGACACTGTACCATTCACTTATTTATATGGCTATTATTTATTTCTCTTCCTCTATCATGTAATTAATTCTCATCCTAAATATATATATATATATATAGCAAACATATGTACATATACATATATAACAAAAATATTAGTTACATAAACAAGTCGAATCAAGCTCAACATTAACTTGTTCAATTTTAGTTTAAAACTTGACAAATTTAAGATTTTGTTTAATTTCTACTTCTTTATACAATGAGTAGATCTCGAATGAGTTTTTAACGAGTTAAATTTAAATAGTTTAATTTTTTATAATGCATATAAATTTAATTAGTCGAGTAAAAGGTTATTGAAACTTGGTTTTATAACTTATTGAGTTTTAATATGTATTTAAATTTAACTTGTTTGCTTAACAAACCGACCAGTGAGTTAGAGTGTCTTGATTCGTTTAACAATAATCCTAAAAAAGATTGGTTGAGTGTATATCATGTTATGAAAACCAATTTTGAAAATACAATCTGAAATCCTACATTTCGTGTACAATGGAGTCTAAATTTGATTGATTGATTGATTTAATGGGAGTTTTCAATTTCTAATTAATGTTCTTATCTAATGTGGATCAGATTCTTGGTTTTCTTCTGTTTGGAACCTAAGATTTGTATCTCGGTTTGGTTTGATTTTTGCTTGTAAGATTTGGAGTGATGGATAAGATGTAATTTTAGTTTTTTAAATAGGTCCGGCTCACACTAATCCATTGACTGGTCAAAATTTGAAAAATGCAGTTAATATGTGGGATTTGGATACAATATTTGCGAGTTGGATAAGCCTAACCCGTCCTATTGATAACCCCTACCCACATAGGTAAAAATTAGTAAGCGGTGTCTAAATATTGAAAAAAAAAAAAAAGATAAACTATTAATAGGTCCTAATAGTTGGACTTAATTCTCATCAAGTCTTATTCAAAATAAGTTTTGGTAAAATTGTCGCTAAAAGTAACTTTTTTGTGACAATTTTTTATATGTGTCACTAAAAATTGATAATTAGTGACTTTTTTTTATCATGATTTTTATAAATTGTCGCTAAAACTTATAATTAGTGACTTTTTTTTATAACAATTTTTTTCCATAAGACCTATTAGATAATAAGTTTACTTATTAAGACATATACGTAAGTACCCAAAAAAAATGTGATAGTTTAAAAAAGTCATTTGAATTTTTTTAAAAAATAAAATATGTGGTCTAAATTTTTTTAAGTAGTGCAAGGTGGGGCTACCCCCAAAATGAATATGATATTTTCAAATATTTTTCTTGAACTTCATAAGAGCATTTCGTCTCTAAAATTGTGTTAAAGTATACCTGTCAATTGATCAAAATTGATAAAAGCGAAACCCAAATTTACATGTTAAGTGTTTGTTAATTTAGGGAGTAAAATTAGTGATACAATAATATAGCTAAGGTTGTGACTCTTATCTTCAGTCTGAAATCAGATTAGAGTGTGTTGTTGGGCATCTTATCGAGTACTTCATCCCTGCAAAAAAATCACATTGATTGAATACCGATAGGCACTTGTTCATATCAGATTTTGTCAACGATAAATAAAATTTTAAAAATAAATTATTGAAATAAATGTGACTTGATCAAGTAACTATTGATATCCGATTAACATATATTTTTTTATAGAAATAAAGTACTCAACGAGTCCTGCATATTGAACGGTTTAAATTATCGAGACGGATTCAAAATGGATGCAAAATGAGCCAAATTAGACCATCCAATTGGAATACCAACCGGAGATAGTCCAAACCCTATGGCTACAAAGGGTAATTGCAAGAAAATGGTATAAACTTAAAATAATTGCAAAATGTGAAATAGTCTAATACACAAATTGTTTGTACTTTCATGATATTACAATTATTTTGAGTTAATACCATTTTTTCTGCAATTCTCCCTAACTAAAATGTGTTAAATAAGAATTAGTGTGTTTGATTTCAGTTTTTTTAATTCAATTTTCTAGAAATTAATTTTTTTTTTTTTGCGTTTTTTTTAATGAATATTTTTTGTATTTAAGCAATTTTTTTACTTTGTAGATGCACTTTACTTAAATATATCTAAATAGTAAAATATTTGTGAAAAAATATTTGAAAAAATTAATAAATACACAAAAATACGAAAAATGTACTTCTTTTTTTTGTATTTTTGATATTTAGTGAATTTTTTAAAGATTTTTTTCACAAATATTTTTTTTAAGCGTATTTATGTTAGGTGTGTCTAAAAATTAAAAAAAAATTTACTTAAAATATTTTGAAAAATCAGTGAAAACAAAAAAAAAATAATGAAAACGACAAAAGTAAAATTTACTAAAAAGTTAATTCTGAAAACTGAAACTAAACAGAATGAATAATATTCACGTAAATGTTCACGCGAAAAGAAAATTTTATTAAAGAACTACAAATAAAAAAATAAAAAGACTATGCCTCCGTTTGGGAAGTGGGTTGATTTTTTGACTTTTTGAATTTTTTGATTATTTTAGCCTGGGCTAAAAAATTTAGTTTGAGAAAGGCTTTTTGACTTTTTGACTTTTTTTATTTTTTTTTTGTGAGAGAAGAGTGTAATGATTATGAGTTGAATGTGATGTTTTGTTTGTTGTGACTAAAATAGCATATTTTATCTTTTGTGGCTAAAATAGCCAAAAAAGCCACAAACTCATCTTCCCAAACAGTGCCATCTCACCTCGTTTGTCGGGTAATTATATCACCGTACTACTATTAGGCGGCAAATAATTCGAGTTGAACCGAATTTTAGTATGTTTAAATTAATTTATTAATATTTTAACGAGTTCAATTTTTAATTTGAATTCAATAAAAATTTAACGAATTGAGATTGAGTCGAGTTAGTTTAAGCTTAACTCGACCTCAAGCTTGTTCACGATAACAGACTAAAAAAATTATAAATTTAGGCTATGTTTGGTATAAACTTTTTGGGTTAAAATAGTCACAAAAAACAAAATAGGCAAAAATTCAATAAGACAAAATGTCACATTCAAATCATAATCATTTCATTTTTTCTCTCACAAAACTCTGAACAACTAAAGTTGAAGGTACTCTACTGTAGATAATATGATCCATGTATTACAAGAAGTCCTGAGAGAGAGAGAGGGAGAGAGAGAGAGAGAGAGAATTACTTATATAAGTTGGCTCATGCCCAGGCCCCAAGAAAAAAAAATGGTATTCCACCAACACAAGTTACAATGACAAGGTAGTTGACTTTCAAGTTAAACCTATGCTTAATCCATCATAGTTCAAACTTTTTAGTACATAAGGTCAAATTTGGTTATCTTAAATAAGTATACACTTTTTATCTTTTTTTTTATCGCATCATTTATTTACTTTTCTGCACATCTTTTCGTAAAAGGACAAAAAGTACAATTATTTAGGTCATCCCAAACAACCCTTAAATTAACCAAAAAGCCAACAACTCATACTAAAAAGTCAAAGATTCTCTTTTCTCTCTACTTTTTACACATCTTTTCGTAAAAAGCCAAAAAATATCCCAAACATATTAATTTTTTTTAACTCATATTTTAGTCAAATAACTAAAAAGTTACTAAATTAGCATGTTCTCAAACGAGGCCTAATATTTGACTCTAATGAACTCTGGGTGAGCCAATTAAAAATGCTCTACCGTTGCAATCTGAAATATAAATGTATTAATTATGCTATAAAGATGTTGATTATGTCTTAAGATTTGTCTATAATCAAATCAAATCAAAATTAAAGTAGGATCTACCTTAGTTACAATCAAAAATTATATATGATTATACCTAAAAATAAAGACTTTATATCTAAACTTACCCCTCAAATTGGTGTTAATTATGCTGTCCTTTAGTAGGACCCTTATTTGAAAGATCAATAGTTAGTTGCTTTCATCAATACGTCAAATTGTTCATATACAAACAAATTAAAATGAAACCAGAAAATAAAAATAAAAATAAATAGGAGAAAAGGTGAAAATGAACAGAGATTAGTTCAAATAATTCATTTCACTATTATCATCACTGAAGTTACATATTGCAATGAGATCCCAACTTTTCAGAACCCCAACAAAAAAAAAATTAAAAAAAATCTAAACCCTAAATAGATCAAACACTCTTCTTCTCATTATTATTATTGTTATTTCTGTCATCATAAAATTTATAGCTAAAACCTTAGAAATTCAGACTTCAAAACTAAAATTGATCAGAATATTGCAGGCAATTCCATCATTTCTTCCACTTGTCCAACACTTTCACCCAATAGCCAATTCTCAAGAAAAGACAAAGGAGGCTCGAGCATCTCGTTCGAGCCTAAATGGGCCCCACTTTCTTGCTCAGACTTGGGCAGTCGGTGACGGCTTCCACTCTGGAGTGAAGCCGAAGCACAAGCAGAAGCAGAAGCAAAACTGCTTCCATCAATGCTATTGTTGTCAAGATTATTGTTGTTTTGGTGCATTTCACTATTCATCAATGAAGCATTTGTCTTTGGGGAAGATCTCATCCAACCTTCTAGGAGTCTTGAAATGTTTTCTGTGCTTGAGGCATAGGTGGTTGAACTTGAAGCATGACTACTACAAGTAGTAGTGTCTATAGTCCTTTTGTGATCAATGAAGCTTTTGGATACAAACGGATAGCTAGCTGAGTCTGATGACGCTATTTGGGGCTCCAAAGCTGTTTGAAGCTTCTTCATCTTCTTCTTCAAGTGGGTATTCCAATAGTTCTTTATATCATTGTCTGTTCTTTGTGGGAGGTATGAAGCTATGGCTGCCCATCTACACCACCAAGTTTAACAACCTTTTGAGAATACAAACACATATCGAAATAGATATTGCTATTGATAATATGATCATATATAGGCCAATATATCAGTGAAAATCAGTATAGAAGGTGAAGAATTTTATACGTATCGATCGATATGTTTAAGACCCTATATACATAGTACAGATATGCTACTAACCCAATATATATATATATATATATTCGTAGAGTTTGACTCTATATACATAATACAAAAATACTACTTATCCAAAATATATATATATATATATATATATCTTTGTAGAGTTTGACTCTATGATGTAGATTATACTTGAAAGTGGTGTGGGTCTGATCCTCATATTTGAAATTTTGAATATTTTTCTAAATATTTTTTCAAGGTATGTAACATTTTACTGTGTACAATATCTAACAAGGTGAAAATTATAAAGACTTTCTATAGATTTAGTGATAAAATATAGAATCAATAGAAACTTTAGATGTTTTGAAAATTACTTGTTACCCAATAAAGCTTGCAAGTGTATAATCATTCCTTCTTCATGAGGAGTGAAGTTGCCTCTCTTGATTCCTGGTCTGAGGTAATTAGTCCACCTGAGCCTGCAACTTTTGCTGCACCTTAACAACCCTTTTCAAAAGCAAAAACAGATTTCATATATAGTTAGTGAGTGGAAAGTAGTTTTAAAAAACAGAAACAAAGACATAGAAATTGGATTGGAATTGCAGTTATTTACCAGTATTAGTGGGAACAGATCTCCAATTTCCAGGGCCATGTTCTTGGATGTAGGAGACCAAGATGATGTCTTCTTCAGGGGTCCATGGACCTTTCTTGATTCCAACTTTGTCACAGCATGGAGGTCTTCCCATGGCTTTTTCTTCTACCACTCTCTCTCTCTCTCTCTCTCTCAAATTTTGATCTTGTGTGTGTGTGTGTGTTTTTGGGCTTGTATGGACCTCCTAAATAGTGACATGAACATGTGAGTGATGTTCATATATGTATATATAAATAGATACAAAGAGGGTGACTTTAAAGAGGTTTGGAAAGCTCTTAGTTCACCTGTTGATCTACCACGCGGAGTCACCTGCCCTTTTTACTTGCTTTTATTGGGTTAAATACGCAGCTGGTCCACACAGTTCATTTCCAAATTATGAAGATTTGTGATTTTGATTCTTAATATTTTAATAGGTAAATTACATTATTAGTTTTGGTAGTTTAAGGGAAATGTCATTTTAATTTTTGTAATTTTAATTTCTACACTTTTAATTTTATTGTAATATAATTCATCCGTCACTTACTGTAAAAATTTGAAATGAAAAATAATCATATGCAAAATTGGAGGAACCACATCATGTAGTTTGTTTTGCACATGATATTTTTTTTGTTTAAAATATAGCACTTGATGACGGATCACATTACAACAAAATTAAAAGTATAATAATTAAATTGTTCAAATTAAAATTATGAGAAATAAAGTGAAATATTACTCCAGCTAGAGGGACCAATGGTATACTTTATCATGTTTTAATTCTACACAATTGGGCTTCAAAAATGAGTATTCTGTCATTTTGATTTGTGATATTTTAACTGTGTGGGTTTGATTCCCAATTTATTTAATTTGTATTTAAATGGTTTTCAACACTGCTCTTCATCCAAAATTTATAACCAAATTAGGATTATTTTTTAGGAAATAGAAAATCAGTCCAAGCTCTAAAAATAATTTATAAATTAGTGATAAACTTTATCTATATTAAAATGAAAGTTTTAAACTTTTTCATGTATCTATAATATTTTTTTGAAAGAACATGTGGATGGTGATTCTCCTATTATTTTTTTATCTAAATTTGTGAAAAGAAAACAAGATTGATAATTACACTATTAGTCCTTATAATTTAAGTGAAGTGTCACTTTAATCTCTCTAGTTTTAATTTGAATAATTTAGATTCTATATTTTCAATTTTGTTATAATGTAATCCTTCTGTCACTTACTGTGAGAATTTGGAATAGAAAAAGATAATGTGTAAAATTAGAGGGGCCAAAGTGAAATTCAAAACAAATATAGTTTGGGGTCTTTATAGATTTTTTTTTTTTTAATCCAACGGTGTAAACACCAGTGGTCTCTATAATTTGTGATCCCTATAGTTTGTTTTAAATACACAATGATCCCTATAGTTTGTTTTGAATACAAGGTGGTCCTTATAGTTTGTGATGCTTATAATTTATTTGAATTTTACTTTAGCTCCTCTAAATTTACATATGGCCTTTTTTCATTCAAAATATTAACAATGTATAACAGAGAGATCACATTGCAAGAAAATGAAGAATATAGGGACTAAATTATTCAAATCGAAATTATAAAAATCAAAGTGAGATTTTGCTCAAACTAGAGCAATCAATAATGTAATTTACCCAAAAGAAAAAATTAGAGGGAGATTCGATGAAAACATTACGAGGGATATTAAACACAAATTGGACAAGTTGGGCATTAAATTGATGCAATTGAAATAATAATGCCCAAAATGAAGCGAAGTGTCAATAGGGGGGGAATAAGGTCAGGAAGGTCAATAGGAAGGGAATAAGGTAAGGAGAAATTGCATTGCCTAATAGTGATTTGAATTCAATTTGAATTCAAACATCTGACTTGGTAAGAGAATACTTCATCCATCAAATCAGCCCCTTATTCTTTACAAATCACATATTATCCATATTTTGAGGATCAATAGTGTATAGGATGAGAAATTATCTAATAACTTCAATTGGGTGTGTTTGATTGGACGGACTGGATAAGGAGGGATTAGAATCCATCGGACTTGAGTCCTAGGACTGTGAATCCCCGGACTATTTGGTTGGATTGAATATGTATCCTGTATTTGTTTTTTCATGGAATTAGATGTCTAGAAATGACTATTTTTAGTGAATCCAACGTTTGGTTGGACGGACTGGATAGGATAAATGAACAAAAGGCTATTTTACCATTTTTCAATTATTTACCAAGTAATAGCAATATTAAACATATCTTTAATATTTTAATTATTTTTAACTAGATTAAATAAAAATTTATTTTATTTTATCTTTTACACAATTAAATAAATTTATTTTTTTAAATTAAATAAATAAATAAAATATCAATAAAAATTTATATTATTTTTTTAATTAAAATTTTAAATAAATTTGTTTTTAAAAATAATAATAATTAAACAATGAAATTCAATAAAACATCTATTAACATTTAAATAATGAAATTAAATAAAATATAAACAAAATTTTAAAATAAAACATCAATAAAATATCTATAAAAAATTATTTTAAAAAATTAAATAAATAAAACATCAATAAAAAGTTAAATAAAATTATTTTATTTTTAAATTGAGACATTTAAATTTTATTGAATTTTATTAAATATAATACATAATTAAATAGTAGATGGTCAAAATAGTCATTTTACCACCTAATCCCAACAGTGGATAGTCTTCCAAAAATTGTCTCATACCCCCCCTAGGACACAATAGTCCCCCATCCTAGTCCCCCATATGGGGGATAAGGAGTTCGGCCGGACTCCATGTCCGGCGGGCTAAAAAAAAAAAACAAATGGCGGATTGGATACTTCCCTCGAATTACAATCCGCACAGTAAATAGTCTCTCCTCTTATCCCTCCAACCAAACACACCCCTAGTGTGTACACTTTCGATAGTACTGAGCCATATATCAACTCTCTTATTTCTAAATAAGATAATCATATATTCCTCTATTCTTAAAAAATAAATTATATCGATAGTTCTTATATTTTTATTATTATATCATTTTGGTTTTTATAATTTTAATTTGATCAATTTAGACACAGTAAATAGTCTCCCCTCTTATCCCTCCAACCAAACACACCCCTAGTGTGTACACTTTCGATAGTACTAAGCCATATATCAACTCTCTTATTTCTAAATAAGATAATCATATATTCCTCTATTCTTAAAAAATAAATTATATCGATAGTTCTTATATTTTTATTATTATATCATTTTGGTTCTTATAATTTTAATTTGATCAATTTAGACATTAAATTTATAATTTTGTCTTAATTTAATTTAATTGATTGCAATTGTTAGTGTTTTTGGATGAAAATATGTACATAGCACATATGTTATATTTTTATAGGTAAAATTAAATTTATTCGACTCAGTTAGTTCACTTTAACTAACTCAATGACTATTTTTCTTCAAAAACCTTAATCAACATTATCAATTAGATTAAATTTATACAAAATTTAAAATTAAATGTTAAAATCACTAATTAAAATTATAAAAACTAAAATAACATCATAAACAAAATGTAAAAACTACTAATTTCTCATATTGAATTAACTTTTATTTAATAAAAAGTACACTAGTCAATAGGGCAACCAAAGTCAGAAGAGAAGTTAAAATTTCTTGTGTGACAAAGGGGTCACGTGCGACTGCACACTTCATCACCCAAAAGGTAGGAGACTCCGGCCTTGTTTGGTTTGTATTTGAGAAACATATTTTAAAATAAAAAGTATGAAAATTTATTTGGTTTAGTTTTTTTTCAAAAGATATTTTGAAAAATTATTTTGAGAGAGAGTTTTGGAAAAAGTGATTGATTTGATGTGTATGAGAGAGATTTGTTTGAAAAATTTATAAACCAAACAAGTTTTAGAAAAAAAATTTGAAAAAATTTGTTTGGTTTGATTACTTTTGAAAACTTATTTGTAGAAAATTTTTCCCAAAAATTTTTAAGAAACACAAACCCAACAAAGCCTCAAAGTCTTTTATTTTATTTCTCTCTCTTTCTCCTAAACCTCTCACTTATATATGGTTTATGCATAGCCACCATGGACTCTTCTCATTTAATATTGTTCTCTCTCTGGTCCTATATATTTTCATCTAAGGCCACACAAGCCACCTAATATAATTATTAAGAAAAATATCTAGTCCTCGACAAGGGATTTTTTGACCAAATCTCCTAAATCCAATGCTTGAAAATCTTTAATTTCTTAATTATATTATTGTGTCAAAGAAGCCTATACCATATTTTGAAAAAAAATAATTAGAGATAGAGACACAGGATTGGATCCTGAATTCTCTTACTTTTCACCACAATTGTAAATTACGACTTTTGTAACTGAAGACTAATTAGGTTTTTTTTTTTTTTTTTTTTTTTTTTTTTTTTTTTTTCCTAAGAGAAGAATGGAAAATAGTGAAAGAGATGCTGCAATTAGATTCGAATCCAGACATCACGCTTAATAAGTGAGTGTCTCAATTACCAGATCAATCCCTTTGCCTAACACAAGATTAATTGTTAAGCCTAGTCATATTTTTTCTATTTCATATGGTGCATTATGACTCTATTATGATGGATTAATCTATAGTTGGTTCAAATCTTTTTTGGGTAAGTAGTTGGTTCAAATCTTATTTGATTATTAAAAAAAGAAAATTTTCTCCCTCTCAAGATATATTTTGGTCTGTTTTTTATACAACCCAGTCTATGTACTTGTGTCATGTATTCTATTTGCTTCAAAAAAAAATTCTATCTATAGTCACTTTGGCAAAGTTAGTTAGTGATGTGTGGTTTTTAAACACCAGTTTAACTCATCATTATTTTTATAATTTTTTACAGACAAATAATTTAATTTCAAAATCAGACACTAATTCTCTTATATAAAGTGAAACCCACACATTTAACAAGTCTCTTCTCATCTAAATAGATTGTATTCGATTTCATGAACAAATGGTGTGCCATTAAAAATTTTCTAATTTTTGAAACACCCAAGGCAAAGGGATTCAAAAATAAGTTGAGTATGAGAAATTCCAGTTTAAGGAAGGGCTAGTAAAGCTGGATTTGGGGTGACGGGTTTGAGGGGTGCACAGCAGTCATTATTGTACAGTTAAATAGGCATATTTCGAAGCTCATTTCAATAATTCGAACCGTTCATATTTTAGAATATATCAAGTAAAATACATCTGCAAAAAAATCAAGTTAATCGGATATCATTTACCTATTCATCCACTCACATTTGTATCTACAAAAATGAATAATAATTGTGATTTAAAATATTAAAATGAAAACAAATGTGAGTGGATAAAAGCGTAAACGATATTTTTTTAACTTGATTTTTTACAGGTATGTTTTATTTGATGTATTCTAAAATGTAAACAGCTCGGATTATCGAAATGAGTTTCGAACTAAACCCATTTAGCTACACAACAGTGATTGTTGTACATCCCTACAACAGTGATTGTTGTACATCCTACACAGCAACCACTCCAAATCTAAGTAAACTAGGCTATAGATTGTATGAAAACCATTTACTTTTCCTAGTACAAAGGAAAAGACAATGAAACTCAGTTTAGTTTTATGAAAGTTTGCCTTGAAGAGTAAGCAATCCAGGCTGTAAAAGTGTTGTTGATGGTGAGTTAAGTGGCACGTACGTAACTACAAGTCCTTAACCCATCTTTCCAATCAAAAGCTGGCTCTTCCAAATCCAAAAACCAATCTGATCATTAACTTGTACAAAGTGCAGCCAGTTGAAAAAAGACTGGACTGTCTTGTTTAGTTCAGTAAGATTATATTATCAGGTTAGACTCAGGTCTTTTCCACTTCACCAATTAGTTTGGCATGTGAATTACGTCATAAGCTTCACTTTGATATTTATTCCATTTATTTTTTAGATTTCACTGTGTAAACCACCATACATTATACAAATTTTAAAAATCAGTATGATGTAATGTTATCGTCTTTATTTTCATACAATGTGTGATAAATATGATTTTACAAGTAAACCTAAAAAATTAACATAATAAATTATTAAAACAAGATCAATAATGAACTCACAAACCAAACTAGAGAGAAGCTCAGTTCATTGGATTCACATGATAATTTCTCTTTAATTGGAAAAAGACTGATTCGTCTAGTTTAGTTCAGTAGGCTATTATGGATTCAGTTTGATATAATAATCATAAATATATGATTTCATTATGTTTGTCTTGAAAAAATTCAAAATCCTATTTATTATCAATTTTTTGGAAGACAAATATTAAAAAATAATTATAATTATTATATCTAAATAATTATTTTCATGAATAATTTACGAAGTTCTACAAGATGAAAAAATCATATCATTAAAATAAACTCAATAATGAGCTCACTAAGCCTTCGTTTGGCATGCCAAGCTTTTTGATTTTTTAGCTATTTTAGTCACAAAAAAACAAAATAAACTTTTTAACCCAACAAGACAACACATCACATCCAACCCATAATCATTTCATTTTTTCTCTCAAAAAAGTCAAAAAGGCTATATCAAAAGAGGCCTTTTAACCCCAGATTAAAAAAATTAAAAAGTCAAAAAACCAACCCACGTGTCAAACAAACCCTAAGTCAAACTAGATGGGTTCAATCCTTTCCCTCAACTAAAGAGAGGTTCTTTTTTTTCTCAATCAAAAAAGAGCCAACTTTTGGCAACTATGTTAAACAAAATCTAGTCACAAGTAAAAGCACAAGATTTTTTGAGATCTTAGATTAAACATTAAAATGATGCCTTACTTTATTATAATATTTGGCAATAAGAATTTTTCAAAACCAAAAAATAAAAAAAAATAAAAATAAAAATTATGAGTCTTAAAAGACAAGTTAAATGATTTAACGGTTAAACCATCTCTTCTGGTTACTTCTTTTGGCTATGACTTATGTATTTGACATTTTTAGCCCAATAAACCCAAAAAAAAAAAAAAAAACATTTTTACATTTGGCATACATCAAAAAGTTTAAAATATGATATCAATTTTTCTACAATAAAAAAAAAAACATGAAATCAAATACATATTTAAAAAATAAAAATAAAAAACCCATAAAAAATCAACAAGCCAAAAAGCTAGTGCATTAAAATGAATGACAAAATGATTATTTTCTATTAAAAATTTTAAAAGGTAACAATGTTATTAAACAAGCCAAAAAGCTAATACACTAATCAATATAATGATAATTTTTTTATTACAAAATTTAAGAAGTAACAATATTACCAAACAAGCTCAAGCTTAAAAGCCATTACAGAAGCCAAAAAGCTGTTACTGTGAATTTTGAATTTGTGGAAGAATTTGTGAAGGAAAAAAATAAATGAAAGGGAAGTGAAAAGGAAAATAACGATTTTAATTCATTATTTTTCCTTCCTTTTTCTCTACAATTCAAAATTTAATCACAATCACAGAGCCAATGCAAATCAAATCAACAGAGTCAAAACTTCAATATAGTCAAAAATCCGAAAAATTACTATTAAAAGTCAGTTCATTCTCTCTATTTTGTTTACACATCTTTTCGTAAAAAAACTCAAAAGCCACTAAAAAATCAATTTCCAAACAACCCAAGTAGTAATCTTTCAAGGTTGAGAAGCATAAAAACATTTATCATTACAACTCACACAAACAGGGTTTGTCAAACAATGGGTCGTTCAACAATTTCCAATTTTTTTCATTCCAGAAGCTTGTAAAAAAAATTGGAAAAAAAAAAATACAAACAAACAAAACAAAACAAAGAGTTACAAATAATAAACATGGAGATTTCTACAAACACAAACATCAGATAACCAATGTGACAAACCTGAACCAGGATCTAAGCCAATATTCTTGCCATTTAACCATCCCCACTTTCAACTGAGCTCTGCGATACATGGCTCCAAGTCAAGTTCACTCCCAAAAATGTTCTAACTTGCATGTTTCATACATAGGCTTTAGCCACAAGCTCAGCATTTCCCTTGCAGGCATTGATTGAAGATCTCCACAAGATCAATGAAAGTCGCCTTTTAACTCATTGATAGCACACAAGGATTACAACTTCCTCAAAGCATACATCCAGAGGTTTGGATGGCCACAACAAGATAAAAAAATTTATTCCAGCAGGAAATCGGTCAACAAGATGTGTTACCTGGTGTTACATTGGTTAGACAAACGATCATTTGACAACATGTCAGTAATTTTTTAAATCCAAAATGAACAAAAACAACAATTATCAGGGGGGAAAAGGGGCAAATTTCGCTTTGCCCTTTCGTAAATTGCAAAATTGGGAAAACGACCAATGCAAAGATAAAAATGTCTACACCTGAACATTTCAACAATTGAACTTACCTGTCTATTCACCTGTTTCATTAACAAAATGGGCATAACTTAAATTTTCAAAAATAATTACTTACAAATGATAGTATAAAACTCAAACCAAAATAAAAAATAAAAAATTCAAGAAAGAGTTGTTACCAGAAAATAAAATTAAAAATCAACATAAGACTTTTGGCAAATGAAAATTTCAAATTATTGAACTTCTATGAGGAAAAATGTATTTCAATTTCAATATCATTTTGTGTTCACAATTTCATTTCAAAGTAGATATTTTACTAATTAGGCTTAATTGTGTCTCATAAGCATTCCACATTCTGACATTTTGAAGACTCAAGGCCAAGCTCGTTACAAACTAGAGCACAAAGTGAAGAATGAATTTCAATAATAATCCACAGTTTGCACTTTGGAGTTGAGCATTTCAGATATAATACACTCATGCTTTTGCATACACACAACTTGAGCAGCTGAGTGTACTATCTGTCTTATGTCCAGTGTTCAACTCTTGCTATAGACCTTAGTTAATTTATTTTATGCTATATACTAAATTGATTGGAGGACTTTGACTTTAAACTCTTGGATTTGGTTGTGTCCCTTGGTTGTCTGTGTCCGTGACCGCAGCATGTCCCAAGTGTCCCAGCGTGTCTAACACGTGTCCAGAGTGTGTCCATGTCCGACACATGTCAGACACTTGAACGTCACCTCCGGAGATGTGTCCATGCTTCATAGGTAGGTAGCATGTTCAAATGCGTATTGGGTCCATTCAAATGCAAGTTTGTTTGAACACATGGTGCTCCATTCAAATGTGCAGGTGTTTCCATGACTCTAGGTTAAAACAGTAGCTTCTCTGTTCGAACACACTAGCATTTCATCCAAACATGGGATCTTTAAACAAAGTAGTATTCCAGTAGGTCATCTGTTCAAATGCATGAATGCATGTGTCTGTTCAGGCTATGTCGTGGAGACTTTTTCTCTCCTATTTTAGTTAAAATTCCTTGTGTCTATATATATGTGTATACATAGATCTTCATGATCACTATTAGAAAAAGGGAGAAGAGGATAATTTGAGTGCGTATATATATTTACTCATATTATCATATTTCTTTGTGATTTCTGTCTGGAGAGTATATATGCTTTGCGAGTGAGGGATTAGTGAGGTCCTTGAATATACACTACACAAGCATATAGTGCACAATCACTATTGGCATTGTATAAACTTGATATTGTCGATCAGTTGCTTGGTGCTGTGTTCGAGGGATGCTAGTGGGGAGAACAATCAGCAAAGTTTCAAGGAAGATCAGAACAAACGAAGGAAGAAGATTGAAACTACAGAACTGCTCACGGGATTCAACTAGATTGGATCAATGTTATTAAAGGCGATAGGCGCACCATGGCGCCAAGGTCTCCTGGGACCTAAGCTCAAGGCGCAAGGCGAGGCGCAGGCTTCACCAAAGTGAGCCGCACCTTGTACGGAAAAAAATATATAATTTAATATAAGTAAATAATTTAGGGTTCAACATAAACAAAATGAAAAGTTAAACATTTAGTGTTTTTTGGAGATTATGAATTAGGGCTAATTTTTCTTCTATCATTGATTTGGGGTTGAATGCCTAATGTATTGGCATCTGTAATAAGAGTAGGGATCTTCTGTAATAACACCATATTAAATCAATTGTTAGATTTTAAACAAAACCAATTAAAGTAACAATAAAAAAAACCCTCAAGACGCAAGCCTTGGGCCAATTAGGGGCCTTATCACAGTCGTCTGGCCTGGAACACTACAAGGCACAAACCTTGGGCTTGGATGGGACTTGGGCCTAGTGTCATAGCCTGACAAATCTTGAAGCTATCCCCCAATAAGGAAGCACTGGGAGGTTCTGGAGATTGCTGGAAGATTCTAAAACTGCCTAGAGCTTTGTGGAGAATTGTACATAAGTCTAGAAGCTTCTACGTAATTGTTGTATATTCTAGAATAGGTTCTTTGAGAAGATGAGGGAAGGATCTAGAACCCTCTCCATCCTTGTAATTCTAGAATAGTCTATAGGATGTAGTTGGAGGAAGTGTTCAGAACACTCTCCATCATTATAGTTCTAGAACATTCCTTGTAGCCTATAAAAGGGGGAGGGCTTCATTTGCCCAAACCATCCAAGTGTATCCAAAGCATTCTAAAGCAATACAAGCAAGCATTCTCCAAGAGCTCTCTCTCTAATTTTCTCTAAGCTTTCTCTTGTGTGTGCAATCTTATCCTAACTCTCTTCCAAGAAGGCTTACTTAGTTGCAAGCAAGGCGTGCATAAGCATCTAAAAGGCCGCACGATTGGCTTGGAAAAAACCAAGGCCATGACAGTTGGTATCAGAGCCAAGGTTACGAAGGCATCGTGACTAAGGAAGGAAGAGCACCATGTCGAAAGTAATCCACACCGAGGAGATCCGAGGAAGGGAGACTACTGCTAATTTGGGCAAGAAGGCCAAAGACAAGTCACGCGACATTGTGAGCGCCATGGAGACCCGAGTGGTCAAGGTGGAAGTGGCCGTGGCCGATGTCACGGAGCAGCAAGATCGGTTAGAACAAGGGATGGAGCAACTTGATGGCAATGTGGGAAGCCAAGTCAAGGAATTGCTTGAGTCTGTGCAGAACACCATCCGGACCAACTCGCAGGAAAGCTATGACTTTCAGGAACAGATCTTGAAGGCTATCTCTCAACTCCAAAACCAAGTCCAAGAGCTAAAGGAAGGCTTGGAGGAGACACAGGCAAACTGGGCTATGTGCAAAAGAGTTGTGGCTAGTGGTGGTGTTGCCATTAATGCGGGATTCACTCCAAGGCTTGAAACACCAAAGCCCAAAGAGTTTGATGGCAAAAGGGACACCAAAGAGCTGGATGACTACATTTGGCACTTAGAGAGGTACTTTGAAGCCTTAAACTTAAACAATGAAATGGCTAAGGTACACACTGCTTCTCTCTACCTCACTAAGCTTGCTAGGATTCGGTGGCGTCGTAAGCACGCTGAAATTGAAAAGGCACTTGCACTATCTCTTCATGGAAGGTGTATAAGAATGAGCTAATGAGGCAATTCTACCCTGAAAATGTGGCACATGAAGCCCGATTGAGAATGAGGGAGTTGAAGCACACCCGCTTTATCCGAGACTATGTCCGAGAATTCTCCAGGTTAATGCTTCAAATTCCTAATACGAGCGATGATGACTTGCTTTTCAACTTCACAGCTGGTCTTAAGTAGTGGGCACAATTGGAGCTACAACAAAGGGGTGTCAAAGACATTTCCACTGCATTCACCGTGGCCGAGACATTGGTGGAATATACAAAGCCAGAGTCTTCTAACTCAAAATCCACCAAGGATGGTCAAGGCAAAAGTGGGGGAGCAAAGTGGGCCAAAGAGTCTAAGGATTCTAAGGCTCCAAAAAACAGAGAAGTTGGAGGCAAACCACCATTGGACAAGGACTGGAAGAAAAATGCCAAGAAAGACATCAAGCCTAGGGACAATTGCTTCATTTGTGATAGGCCACATTGGGCGCAGGACTGTCCTAAGTGGAAGAGCCTTAGTGCAAATGCTGGAAAAACAAGATGTGGAATGAACAAGTAGATGTGGCACAATCTTACCTCGACAAGGCAACCAAGAAGATGAAAAAGTAGGCGGATGACAAGAGGCGGCACCGAGAGTTCAACGTTGGAGACTTGGTGATGGTAAAGATATCGTCTAGCCAAAACAAGTTCACCCGAGACCTACACCAGAGGCTTATACGCGGCTATGATGGGCCACATCCAATAATCAAGAAGGTGAGTAAGATTGCCTACAAACTTGACTTACCCCCACATCTCAAACTTCACCCAGTCTTCCACATAAGTTGCTTAGAGCCCTACTACGAAGACGAGGAAGACCCGAACAGAGGCAAGTCAAAGAGAGCACCGTTGGGCATCACGGCAACCTATGACAAAGAGGTAGAGTCCGTCTTGGCAGACCGAGTGGTCCGACGACAAACACGTCATAAGTACTTGGTGAAATGGAAGGGCTTGCCTGATTGCGAGGCGAGTTGGGAACCAGCAAAGGCATTGTGGCAATTCGAAGAAAAGATAAAACGATTCCATGAAGAAGACGCGACGAGGGCATCGCCACATTAGATGGGGGAGAATGTCACAGACTGACAAATTTTGAAGTGGTCCCTCAATAAGGAAGCACTGGGAAGTTCTGGAGATTGCTGAAAGATTCTAGAACTCCCTAGATCTTTGTAGAGAATTGTACATAAGTCTAGAAACTTGTACATAATTCTTGTATATTCTAGAATAGGTTCTTTGAGAAGATGAGAGCATGATCTAGAATCCTCTCCATCCTTGTAATTCTAGAATAGTCTATAGGATGTAGTTGGAGGAAGTGTCTAGAACACTCTCCATCATTATAGTTCTAGAACATCCTTTGTAGCCTATAAAAAGGAGAGGGCTTCATTTGCCCAAACCATCCAAGTGTATCCAAAGCATTCTCAAGCAATACAAGCAAGCATTCTCCAAGAGCTCTCTCTCTAATTTTCTCTAAGCTTTCTCTTGTGTGTGCAATCTTCTCCTAGCTCTCTTCCAAGAAGGCTTACTTAGGTGCAAGTAAGGCATGCATAAGCATCTAGGGCCGCACGGTTGACTTGGAAAAAACCAAGGCCGTAACGCTAGGCGCACACCTAGGCGCGCCTTATTGAAGTTGCCTAGCCTGGAACACTACAAGGCGCAAACCTTGGGCCTGAATAGGACTTGGGCCTAGGCGCATGCCTAAGCACGCCTTTAATAACACTGGATTGGATCATTGGTGTACTTTG